CCTTCACGGCGCGCGGCGGCTCGCGGGCCCGCGGCGCCTCGTCCTCTGCCGCCGCCGCCTTGCGCTCCTCGCCCTCCGAGTCCGGGCGGCCGCCGGCCTCCGCGTCCGTGTCGTTGTCCTGGGCGCCCTCCACCAGCATCTCCCGGCGCATCCGCGACCTGCAGGGAGCAACGGAGGTGCTGGTGACAACCTGAGACCCAGCGCCCCCCGACACCCCCTTCCCAACCCCAGCACATCCCTTCCGATGCCAACCCCAGCTCCTGCTCTTGGAGAGGCTTCGGAACCCACCATGGGGCCTGGAAAACAACCCGGGCCAGCCAGTGGGGAAAGGCTTTTGCAGCACTTGGAGCTGTTTCCAACTTGCAGCCTTCCAAGCCTGACCCAGTTCCGCAAATATTTTCCACTACTTTTATTTATTTTTTTTTAACATAATCTTTTTTTTTTTTTTTCTTTTCAAAGACTTATTTTGGTGGTTGATGCATGGACGGACTGAGGACAGGAGCAGCTTTCCTGCCACGGTGCACAGGAAAAGGTTGCAGAAATTGTTTGAGTTAGAAACCTCAGTCCCATTTTCACCAAAAAGGCTGATTTTCTGAGACCTCTTCCTCACTCCCCTGAGTCTTTCCAAATAGTGGTTGCTTCATGAGAGAAACCAGGGCTGGTTCCAATAAATATTTACCTCCTACTTTGGGCTGCCTCAGGRGAGCCTGAGGCCAAGCGGATTTGACACGTGCAGTTTTTTAGGGCTTTTTAGGGCTTTTTTAGCTTGTTTTATACAGCTGGAAAGGCCACGATCCCTCTCACTGTGCCCACAGGCAGCAGTCAAGTGGCACCAGGTTGCACTGTGGGAATGTCACAGGGATGGGGAGGAAGATGCAGGAGGCAGGGGACCTCTCGAGCAGCAGGGCATCTCCAATGGSCATCTGATGGCAATGTCACCCACCAGTTTTGGCCCATCTCCTGTGCCCGCTGAGCCTCTGAAGCGGCTTTGGGACATGGGACTGGGCAAGGGGGGCAGGCACAGGGGTCTGCAAGGGTGCTAGAGCCSTGTAATGCAGCCGCCGTGGCCCAGCCCGGTGCTCCTCACATCCCTCGTGGTGCTGCCCAGCCCTCCACGCGTGCCCRTACCTGTAGTTGTGGAACCAGTTGATGACCGTGTTGGTCTTGAGGTTGAGCTGGAAGGAGAGCAGCTCGATGGTCTGCTGCGAGGGGTAGGGCTCCAGCTGGTAGGCCTTCTTCAAGGCCTCCTTCTCCTCCGGCGCCAGCACCACGCGGGGCTTCTTGACCTGCAGCAGGCTGAGGTCCTGCGGCGGGAGGCCGGGGCTGGCGCATTCGGAGCGCGCGCCGGGCGACTCGCTGTCCGAGCCAGCGCCGAGGAGCCCGTAGCGCCGTTTCAGGTAGGCTGCGGGAGAGGGCACGGTGCGGCACGCCTGGGAGCCAGCGCCAGCCGCCTCCGCGCCGGCGGCTCCGCGACGGCCGTGGACGCAGCCTGGAGCGCCCCAGCGCTCACCTTTCTTCTCCAGCTTCTTCATGTCGCGGAGCTTCTCCACGTTGTGGGGGTCGTTGAGCCAGAGCTGCATGCGGACGAAGGGCTCCCTCCCCTTCAGGCTCAGCTTGTGCCACGGTTTGGGCCTGGAGAGGAGATCGGACACCGAGCCCTGCGTCAGGCCCAGGATGCTCTCCCCGAACAGCCGCTGGCCTGGCAGAGGAGAAGCAAAGATGGTTAGAGCGGGGCCGGAGCCGCAGGGCTCTGGTGGAGCCCGTGTGCCCCGTGGTGGAGATGGCACCAGGCAYGGACAACGCGACCCTGCCAGCCTAGACGGGTGCGCACGGGCAGGTGTCCCCAAAGCCATGGCCAGGCAGTGCCAAGCCCGGGGTGGTTCGTACCTAGGTTGTTGTCCGTCAACACCTCCTTGACCTTCTTGGTGATGGAGTAGGTGTCCAGCTCAGGGGACATGGCCACGATCTCCTGGATGCCCACAGGCCCTTGGCTGTTGGGGTAGCCCTTCCCGCTGAGCGCAGGAGCCGAGCGGCTCTCGGGCTGCTGGTTTTCCTTGCTGCTCTCCAGGGCCAGGGTGAGCGGCTCCTGGGAGCCCTTGTCCTGCTCCGAGGGGCTGGGTGGCGGCGAGGGGGACGGCTGGGGCTCCGCGGGGCTGCCTGCGAAGCAGCACAGGAAGAGCAGGCGTGAGCAGCGCCCGCGAGGCCGCTCCCAGCTGCACCACGGGGATCCGAACGCCAGCAGCACCCGGAGAGCCCGGCGCTCTGCTCCGTGCCCGCAGCCTCCCTGCGAGCCCCAGCACAGGGCTCCTCCAAAGCCACCTCACGAGGGACCATTTTGCTCGCAGTTTTGCTCGCAGTTTCGCCTGCAGAGCTGTTTGCAAGTGCCAAAACGCAGCGTGCAGCAGCCTGCCCGCCCCAGCGTCCGCATCGCCCGCCCCAGCTGCGGAGCCRGCACCCAGGGGCTCTGGGTTTAGGGAAACCTCCCGGCTGGGGAACACGGGAGAAAAAGCAGATGCCGAGGAGAGGGACAAACTTGGTGTTCTGCACCCAGCGGGGTCAGCGTTTGGCACCGTCTGCAGCCTGCACAGCCTGCASGTGCCTCTGCCTTTCCTAAGGGGAGCAAGCAGAATCCCTGTAGCTGCTGTTGCAGAGCAGGAGGCAATGGAATAATCAAAGAAAAAAAACATAATATAAAAATTAAAAAAAAACAGTTACTTCTTTATTCTAGRCACATAGCCAAGGATTTTGTTGTGTTTTTTTTTCTTTTGCATAGCTGGATGACTTTCAAAACCCCGTTTCTGACAAACTAACACTTGYAGGTTGTGCACCACAGCCTCACCCCGTCTCACACGCTAACGGAGAGGGGTTCCAATGGAGCGGGATGCGGATAGTGGGATGTGGACGGGCGGCGGGACTTACCCTGCGCGGTGGGCGGCTGCTGGCTGATGCCCTGGCCCAGCTGGTCCGTGAGCCAGAGCTGCATGCGGATGAAGGGCTCCCGGCCCTTCTGYGTCAGCTTGCTCCACGGCTTGGGCCGCGACAGCATGTCGCTCACGCTGCCCTGCGACAGGCCCAGCACCTGGGCACGGCACAGAGCGGAGTCAGAGCGATCCGTCGGGACGAGCCCCCCGGAGCRGAGCCCGAGCCGGTACCTTCTCCCCGAAGATCCGCTGGCAGATGCCGTTCTTGGCCAGCTTCTCCTTGACCTGCCGAGTGAGCTCCAGCGTGTCCACCTCGCGGTACATGTACATCTCGTACTGCTCCGGCGTCAGCGGCGGCACCGTGGGCTTCAGCGAGCGCGGCACATACGCCGGGTAGTAGGAGAGGCGCCCGGCGCCCGGYGCCTCCGCGCCCTCCGACTTCATCTCCACGGCCTTGTGCGGCTCGTCCTCGGCCGCCGGCACCTCCTCCTCGTTGGCGCCGCTCTCGCCGGGCTCCCCTCGCGGCCAAGCCCGCCCGTTGGCCATGCTGGAGTAGCTCGAGGAGGAGGAGGAGAGCGAAGGCGACACGGCGCCGTAGGGCCGGCTCAGCAGGCTCCTCTCGGCCGCCCAGTGCTGGTCGAAGTAGGAGCCGGCGTCGCCGATCTCCGACTTGACCTTGCGGATGATGCTCTGCACGAAGGCGGCCGGGGAGAGGACGGCGAGGGGCGGCTGCGCGGCGCCGGCGCCCTCCTCCTGTTTGATATAGGCCTGCACGACGTTGGGGCTGACGGCGGCGAGCGTGGCGCGCTCGGCGGGCGGCGAGGCCCCGGCGCGCGCGGCGCCCGCCTCCATCTCCAGCAGCGCCTGCTGCTGCGCCTGCATCTCCCGCCGCGCCTGCTCCAGGATGCTCTTGATGGCGTCCTCCGAGCCGGAGCCGTTGGCCACCGACGGAGGAGCCGAGGAGGTTTTGGGCTCGCCTGGGAAAAACAGGAGAGCGGGAGTGAGCGCGAGAGCGCAGGGCAGAGGCTCGGCAGAGAGCTCAGGAGGTTGTTTGGCTCGTGGCTTTATTTTTTTGTAGCCCCCTACGCTCGAGCAAGATGGGCTCCTAATTGCATTTCTTTCCTCTGCCTTTACTTATTAACGGAGCAGCTTCTGCTTAGCATGACACACGTGTAAATGATGGCAGCCTGGCGGGAGGTTCACACCTAGCTGGAAAGAACGGGAATTTCCAGGCTGCCTGTGAACACGCAGCCCCGGCCGCCGCGGAGCCGGGATGAAGCTGCTGCCAGCACAGCTGTCTGCAGGGCACCGACTCTCATCTCTGCCCCCAAACGCCGCTTTGGATGCTCCTCTAAGTAGGGCAGCTTGCCTTCTTTTTCTTTAGGGCGTTGTTTTAAAAAGTTGCTGAAGTTCAAAGTGCAGGAGGAAGGAGATTTTATGTTAACAGAGTGGTCACTGCTTCGCTCTGCARCTTCACGCATGGAAATGGGCTGGGCCCAACAAAGTCAACGCTCCCAAAGCCACACACAGCACCAGGAATCTGTTCCGATGCTTGCAAAGTAAATCCCATTACCAGCGACGGCAATACACAAACACGTTTGTTTTCCCTGACTGTTTTTGCACCGTTCCTCTCTAATTTAATTCTCAGGGATTTTGCTTTCTCAGCAGACTACCTGTTTTAATGTATTTCATTCCTTGTAATTGACTGTGCGCACAGCTGGTTTAATGATTCCTTGTGCCATATGGATCACGCGTTCCCATTTAATCATCTGATTCGGGAGCAGGGAAGGGAGGGGCGAGGGATGAAGTTCCTGCAAGCCCCGATGCCAAAGGGGCCCCTTTAAAAGGAGCCACGTGAAGTCAGGGAGGCCCCAAAGCGCTCCCAATATTTAACATTTCTTGCCACTATGCTCCCCAAACGTTGTGTGTGGGTCTCCCTAGGTCCCTAGAGCAGAGCCAAGGGTGCAAATGGGGTGACAGGGRCCTCCAGGGCCTCCCATCGTGGCATGGTTGCCCCTACCTCCCTTCTGCGACTCGATCTCCTTCTTGGCCTGCTCCAGGATGTTCTTGATGGCGTCGTCAGAGCCCGTTTCTGGCGTCCTGATCCGCGGCGTGATGCTACCTGATCAAAGAGGTCCCATAACAGAGCTGTCACCGGCGCTCGTTCTACAAGCTTCGCTCGTATGTCAGGAAGCATTTACTGCTGCTCGTGTTCAGTTATTTTTAGGGATGCTAGCTTTAAGAAAAATGTCACTCCCAATTAGTCACCAGCCAGAGTGACGGGAGCCCAGGTAGCTCCTTTCGCCTCCACATCTCCAGCTGGGAAGAGACCACCCGGATCACAGGGGGCTTTCCAACACCGTTCCCTCTGGATGCAGGACTGGCACTGGCATGGGGCCCTGGTACTTTGCTTGGATTTGCAAAGTTTTTCCGAGGAGGGGAACGAGCTGAACGAGCTGCCCTCGAGCTCCAGGTGCGGAAAGGAGGCAGCTTTGGGGCAAGGGGCAGGCAGAGGTCTGAGCGAGTGGCCTCGTGCCTCAGTTTCCCCGGGGCCACTCACCTCTCTGGCGCACCTGGATGGTCCTCAGGGCCAGCACGTTCTGCTCGTCGGCCAGGAACTGCTTCATCTTGATGAACGGCTCCTTGCCCTTCACCGTCAGCTTGCGCCAGGGCTTGGGCCGCGCCAGGATCTCGCTGACGGAGCCCTGCGACAGCCCCAGCACGTAGTGCCCGAAGACGCGCTGCCCGATGTTGTGCTTCAGCAGCTGCTCCTTCACCTGGAAGGCGATCTCGGCCGTGTCGAGCTGCTCCTCGTCGGCGCCGCCGTCGCCCGGCTCGCCGCCGGGGCTGCCGCCGGCGCCGCTCGCCTTGCCGGCGCAGCACGCCGAGGGCGGCCCGCCGGCACCCTCGCTCTTGTAGGCGGCCGCCTTGGGCAGCGGCGCGTCCGAGAAGGTGCCCTGGCCCTCGGGCGGCCCCGGCGAGGCCGCGCGCTCCTCGGCCGGCGCCTGCGGGAGCTGCTGCTGCGGCGACGGGAACGGCGGCTCCAGCACCAGGGGCTCCCTCCCTGCCTCGTCTTCGGAGGGGTCCTCCTCTGGAGAGCAAGGAGAGATATAGCCAGGCTCTAGAGCGGTGTGTCCCGCGCCGGCCGCCCCATGGCGGGTGTCYGGAGGCGCTTGCGGCACCCCAGAGTCCTGGCCTTTGGGTGCAAGTGGGAGTGAGCAATCAAGCAAGCAAGGGGAGCATCCAAAAACAAGCCCAACCAAAGGGGAAGCACAAATGGAAAAGCCACCAGGTGATGGCCGCTGCCCTACCAGTGCTGGCCAGCAGGCTGGGCTTCTCCAGCAGGTATTTCTGGGAGGGATAGAAGGCTTCCTTGCCCAGGAGCAGAGCCTCCTCCGGCTTTGATATGCTCTGCAAGGAGGGAATTGCGTTGGGAGGGCGTTAGGGAGCGGGTGGCCAGGCCGAGCTGGCTCATGCGCAGGACAGGCACGGGCTGGAGCATGCGCCGCACTTGCCTGGGGAAGGCTGCAGCTCGCCGAGGCCACCTTCATGGCTTTCAAGATGCTGGGAGAGAAAAGAGAGGATTCAGGTGGGCTGGGAAGTGGTCGTTGGGACACAGCTGGGCAACACGCTGCAAAGTGCTGGGCTGGGGGGAGCTGGTGCCCAGCGAGCTCTACCTCAGCTCCGTTTTGATCTCCTCATAGTCCGCTTGGGCCAGCAGTTTCTCCTCCAGCTTCTGTGGAGCAAAGTTGGGGATCAATGCAGTCCTGTGTCCCAGAACCTGCCCATTCCCCCCATGGCACCGGCCACCATCCATCTGCCAGCCCCATCTCCCTGCAGCCCTCAGGTGATGGATAAAGGTCCCAGCGATGGCTCGTGCAGCCCCATGGGTGCCACCAGCCTCCAAAGCGCGTCCCGGGCTGGCAGGGTCCCCGCGGGGCGCTCACCTCGATGGCTTCGTTCTTGGCAGCCAGCTGCCCCTCGAGCTCCGCGATGTGGTTGGCCGAGGACTCCTCCAGCTCCTGCAGCGAGCTCTGCAGGTGCTGCACGTCCTTGAGCAGCCGCAGGATCTCCCGGTCCTTGGCAGCCAGAGCTGCCTCCAGCCTCGAGCCTGAGCACAGGGAATAGTTCACTTTGTCCTGCCGGGAGAGGGGGACACGGTCAGCGCCGCGGCGAAGGGCCGGCGACACGGGGGGCCATCCAAGGACATGGCTGTGCTCGATGTCCCGGCTCCCTGGTTGCACCCCGACATAATGGGGGGGCTCGCGAGCGCCACGGGGGGGTCCTCACCCCAGCGGCCCCGGCCGGGGAGCAGCAGGCCAGGCGCAGGGAGCTGTTGACGGCGGCCAGCTGCTCCCGCAGGCTCTCCACCTCGCGCTGCGCCGCCTCCGCTCGCTGCAAGAGAGCAGGGAGCCGCGTCAGCCCGCACCGCCCGCCCTGGCCACCCGCACGCGCCGCCTTGCCCCGCGGCATTCCGGATTTACGTGGATGGGAGCGAAGGGGAGTGGAAACGGACAGAAATGGTGGGGCCTCGTGGCACGTCCTCCCATGGCAGAGGCTGGAGGTGTTAAGTACGTGAAAGCCAGTGGCCAAAACGTGGCCTGGCGGAATTTGTATATATAAGGTATATATAATCATCTATCTATACACATACATATGTGTGTGTGTTTATATGAGGGATATAAGCAAGCATCAGGGAGAAGTGAGGAGTTCCTGGRGGCTGTGGGTGCTCTGCGGGGCTGATGCAGAGCAGGTCCCGCACTGCCAAGCACAGCAGGTCGCCTCCCCACAGCGCTTTGCCATTCCGGAGAGCCGAGCGGGAGCCTGGCCCCGGTGGCACCTTCCCCTGCAGAGCCCCAGACTATTTTAGGGCARAGACATCAGGACCAGGCTGATCCAGGGGGTGGCTCCAGGTCCCACGGGCTCCGTGGAGCCCCGGGCTGGCGGCTGAGCCCAGCGTGGGGACGCAGGAGCTGGCTGGGTGCTGGCCGGGCCGCGGCGGCCACGCGCTCCTCACCTGGTTGGCTTTCTCCAGGTTCGTCATGATCATGGCCACTTCGTCTGCCCTGCCGCCACAAAGCAAGAGGCGTGAGCCGCGGCGACGCCCGGCTCCGGCTCCCGCGCTTCCCAGCGGCTTCCTCGGCGCGGGAGGAGCCGGCRCGGCGCGGGACAGCCCGGCGGGATGAGCGCGCGGCGGCCGCTTACTTGGAGGCGGCTTCCTCGTCGTATTTGCATCGCAGCTCCAGCAGCTCCGTCTGCGTGGCCTTCAGCGCTGCGCGGGGCAGAGCGGGTGAGCGCGGCGGCGCCGGYGCCGGGGCCGCGGGCGGGCGCCTGCGGCCGCCCCTACCTGAGTGCAGCACTTTGATCTTCTCCTCGGCTTCCCCCAGGCGCGCGGCCAGCGTGAGCTGGGCCTCCTGCAGCCCCCTGCACGAGAAGCGGTCAGTGCGCGGGGCCCTGGCCGGGACCCGCACGCGTCCCGCTCGCCTCCCCGGCCTGCAATTTCCTCTCGTTCACCCCATTCTCCAAAGCAGCCACCCCTCTGTGCCACCGACAGCTCCCCGGGGATGCTCTTGTCTTCCTAACACACACGGGCACATCCCRCATCCCCAGGATGGGATGGGGCTTTCTTGAACCAGGATGGGAAGCGTACACTGGGATCTCTCCAAGGGGGAATGGCAATTCTCATTAATTGCAGGGGGAAGCAATCAGGGAAAAGTTCTCCTGCATTATTTATAGCTCGCACWTGCCAGGAACTTCCTCGGAGGGATGTGCAATTTAGGGTTTAAAGACTCAGCGCCTGCTTGCGGCTGCAGCGTGTTAAGGAATGACAATGAAGCTCCGGCAAAGGCGGCRGCAGAGAAATTCCCAGGACCTTTAATGAGGTTCATCCCCCAACCTGGATGCAACTGCCCAAGTGGATCCCGGCCCCGTCCTGCCTCCGAGATGCCCCGGCAGGCGCGGGGGGACAGAGAGGCGCTCTGAGCGCGGGGTGGCCACAAGCTGCGGGCTGCATTTGGGGCAGGACGTGCAGGTGGCCGGGGCCACGTGTCCTCCCCAGCGTGCCGCCCGTCCCCACCACACTCACGTACCTCTGCTTTTCCGCCTCATGTCTCAAGGTTTCTGTGAAGGCCGCTTTGCTCTTGGTGCYGGCGGGGCTGCTGTCGTCCGGCCCGCCCGGGGACACCCCTTCCCGCTGCTCTGTGAGGGAAGGAATCTCACGGATGCGGCACAAGGGAAAAGTAGGACCAGATGGGCCGCCCCAAACCAGCCCTGAGACCAGTGGGATGCAGCACCATGGGATGCAGTGCATTGGGATGCAATACAGAGGGATGCAGCACTGTGGGAAGCAATGCATTGGGATGCAGCACCCAGGAGCTGCAGGAGGTACCTTGGGTGCTGACGGGCTCCGGGTGCTTCTTCCACGGGCGTCCGTGGTCCCGGGGGGGCGGGTTGGGGGCCTCGAGGCGCTGGAGCTGCTGCAGCCGATCCTCCAAGCTCCGCGCGGCCTCCAGCACCGGCGCGGGGTCTGCGGAAGGGGCAGGGAGCAGCTGAGGGGCCGGGATGGCCACGGACGGGCCCTCACTTGCCCACCTGCCTGTGCCTGGGCCGTGCAGCCACGGGCACCACRGGGCTCTTGGGCCGAGTTGTCATTCTGGGACCCTCATGGTGGTGGCCACTCTGGGACCTGTGTGGTGGTGGCCACCCTGTCAGCCCAGTGGCCACCCCAGGACCGTTGTGTCAGTGGCCACCTCAGGACAGAGCAGCCACCCTGGAACCTCAATGTCACCAGCCACCCCAGGACCCTGGTGACCACCCTGAGACCCCCAACACCACAGCCACCCTGAGACCCTGGTAGCCACCCCGGGACCCCGGTAGCCGCCTCATGACCCCAATGGTCACATCAGGACCCCAGTGGCCACAAAAGCACCCTGGTGGCCACAGTAATATCACTGTGGTGGTGACCACCTTGGGACCCCAGGGGCCACCTCARGACCTTGCTAGTCACCCCAGGAACCTAGATGCCCCCCCACGACCYCCATGATCCCATAAGGACCCTGGCAGCCACCCTGGGACCTTGGTGGCCACATCAGGACCACTGCGGCAGCAGCCACCTTGGCACCCCAGGGGCCACCACAGCACCTCGCTAGTCACCCCAGGGCCCCGGTGGCCTCTCCGCGAGGCTGGTGGGCACACGGGGGGCGTCGCGGGGACGGGCAGGTGCGCGGGCCCCGCGTCCCCCCTGCGCCCGCGTCCCCCCGTCATTCGCTCGCGCCGCRCGGCGGGGCGCACCATTCTGTCTCCCAGGGCTGCTGTAATTATACATTGACATAATTAACCCAGCAAGCCCATTAAGCAGGCCAGCTAAAAATTCATCTATAATTATTTGTTGTGTGCATGCTAATGAGTCCATCTGCACTGCCATTGTACAACACGAACAAATTAATTTACAAGTCTGGATTTTTTAATAAGTTCAGGAAAATGCCTCCTATTGAGCCAGGTTAATATAGGTTTGGGATTTTTTTTCTTCTTTTTTTTTTTTTCAAGAGAAAAGAAAATAGAATCCAATTCTCTGGGGGCGAAGCGAGCTAAGCAGGGAAGTGGGTCGGAGCCGGCGTGCGGCTCACGCGGGCGGCACGTGTCCGGCGGGGAAAAAGGGAATGCTGGTAATGGGGGAATGGAAAAATGAGACCAGCGGCCGTGTGTGCCGGGAAGGYAGCTCTTGGCAAGGTGATTCCAGGCACCTTCCGCAGCCGTTCCCTGCTCTTCCTGGGTTCCTGCGCGGCCGGGCTGCCCGGAGGAGCATCACGCTCCACTTGGCTGCCTGGAAAAACCCAGAGAGGGTTGGGATCGGGGGCTAATTTTACAGCCATTAATAACAGTGGTAACCACACGAGCCGAGCTAATGACACTGGTAATTAAACACTGTGTGCGAGGCTGTGGCTGGAGGTGCACAGGGATGGGCACCCACTTCCATAGGGAAACAAGCCCAGGCCATCCCGATCCCGTTAGTACCGGCACCTCTGAAACCAGGGATAACCAGCAATAAAGCACCTCTGAAGCCAGGGATAACCAGCAATAAACCACCGTCGGTGCCAACACCTGCGTGGGCAGCATCGGCTCCGCTCGGGCTCTGCGCCGCTCTGTGTCACGCTCTCTCCCTCTACACAAATGCACAAAGCGTGTGTGCGTATACACAGATATATTAAAAAACACATAAATGCATCTATGGAATGTCTTACCACTAGCCGGCGATATTGCCCGTGCTGCGGAGGGGCTGCAGGAGGCCGGGACGTCCCAGGGCCACGTCCCCATCCCGTTGTCCCCATCCCGCGGTCATCGGTGCCGTAGGGACACCCCTATGGAGCCCCCCATTCCCGCCATGCGCCAGGGCCCTCCGCAACCCTTCGCGAGCCCAAGCCAGGCTTTAAATCAAATCACCCCCGAYGCCAGTGACATTAATTATGCTTTTAACGCATTTTACTGCTTCCCCCCTCGCCCCGCCTCGCGCCACATCTGTGTGAACAATATCGCCGAGATTTACGGGTTTCTCCCGTAATTAGAGGCGCGCAGGCGGCTCGCTTATCAAAATACTTGCTGAGCAATCAGGCTCCGCTGCCGGCGCGGCCCGAGATTTGTGTTGACAGCAGCCATTCAGAGGGGAAAAACGTCGAATCAGGAGTTATGCGGCGCCCGCCAAGCAGCAGCACCCGAGGGTGCCCCGTGCAGCACCCATGGGCACGGGGGAGGATCCACGGCACGACGGGAGCAAGGCCGGGATGGTTGGGAAGAGCAGGAGCAAGGAAGGGCGAAGGAAAGCACATGGGGAGCACAGTGTGCACGAGCACAGAGGGCAGCACTGCCGGGGCGCCCGCCACGAGGAGGAGGAAGAGGAGGAGGAGGGAAGACAACGGGGCTGGGGGAGCAGAGCTGACATTTGGTTCTCACAGCACAGGATAAAATTTAATGAGGACGAAAATAACGTTTGCCCTAATTCCCCCAAGAAATCATTAAAACATTTTGTTATTCCTAAACGTCTGGAAAATGAATTAGGGGCCCTGCAGGAGCCCTTGTGCGTGGCGGCTCGCGCCTCCCCGCGCTCAGCCGGCACCGCGGTGCCCACGCCGGCGCTGCCCACGGCTGCCCCACGCTCGGGGCGGCTTCGAGGGGCTCCGAGTCGTGGGACCCGCGAGTGGAGCGGGAATTRCATGGGAAGTGCATGGAAAGCACATGGGAATTGCACGGGAAGTGTGTGGGAAGTGCACGGGGAGCGCGCGGCGGCGCCGGAGGCCACGGCTCCGCCGCCTCACTGAACTTACCGTCAAAAAGACAACTGGGGATAGCTGCAGTGTTAGTACAAGGGCTGAGCAAATGTATTCCTTTCCTAATGTCAAGATGCATTTGGCTCAGGGGCTGAAGCACAGCGACGGCCAAAGCTGCTCCCACTCGTCCGGGCGGCTGGTGCTGCCGCAGCAGCATGCGCGGGCGAGCGCGGCGGGGCCGGCGCCGGGCCGGGGACGGCGGCAGACGCTCCGCAGGGCTCGGTGCTCCTCGGCGGCGGCGCGGGCGAGCTCGGCGCTACGCGGCCCGCGCGCCAGCGCGCTCCTTACCTGCCGCTGCGCTCAGCTGCTTGCCGAGGCTCCGCAGAGCCGCGCCGGCCTCCGTGCTGCGGTCAGCGAGCGCCACGGCCTGCGGGGAGAGCAGAGAAGGCGGCGGTGAGGGGCGCCCGCGCTCGGCACTGCCCGCCGYGCGCTCCCTCCGCGGGACGGGATGTCGGGAGATGCCAGGGTTCCCGCGCCGGGAAACGCTCCGCTGGAGTGCGCCGCAAGCGCGCCGGTTCCTGCCGCGACGCATCCCATCGGCAGCCCCATTTTCCTGCGGCCGACGGGATCCTGTCCCGCGCGCAGGGCAGGATGCGACGGCGGCACCGTTTGCCATGTGGGAGCACCTCCGGCTCCRGGGAGCGCGGGGCCGGGCGGCCGCTCCACGTGCCGCCTTTGGCTACGTTCCTAGCGCGCCTGCAATGTCACGCCGCTCTAAATCATTGATGCACTCTGAGTAAATGAAAATTATAATTTAATGCCAGTGCTTAAATAAGAAATAAGAGTTTTGCCGCTTCTAGTGCCGGCGGGGCCGCGGGCGGCTGCCAGGCCGGCGGCGGGGATGCTCGCGCGCGCTCGCCGATGCTCCTGGGCACGAATCATTTCCCCCCGTGCATCTTCCCGCACGCACCGGTGCATCCGGGCGGGTTTTCCTCCCGCGCTGCGTTTTGCTGCAGGGAATGCGGCCGGAGCCACCGGGAGCAAGAGCAACGTGGAGTAACCGAGGGGCTCCGAGGCACCCGCGGCAGCGCCTGCCACGTCGCGCGGCTGCAAGGCAGAGGGCAGCCGCCCGCTGCYGCCTTCCTCCTCCTCCTCCTCCTCCTCCTCGCTGGAAAAGCCTCCCTGCTCGGAGGCTGCGGCGCCGCAATCGCCTGTCGCTCAAAACAAAAGCACCCGGCTCATTTGTAATGCAGCAGCCACCTGAGCTGCACAAAACCTGAGCACAAAGCTCGGCCGCTCGCGGGGAAGGCGCCGAGGCCACAAACCTCCTTCCTCCTCCTCCTCCTCCTCCTCCTCCTCGCGCTTGGGCCACGGGAGGCACCTGGGGCCTCTCTGCAGCATCTCCCCCAAAACACTCAATTTGGGTGCCTTAGAAAAAGGGCAATGCTAAAGAGAGGACGCAAAGGGATAAAGAGAGGGAAAGGCAGCGCTGGCTGCCGGCCCCGGCGGGTGTTTAGCAGCAGGACGGCCTCGGAAACGGCAGCAAATGCCGACTAAAATGGAGGATTTTGGACTTCCAAAGGYTTTTCCGTGGTGCGGACCGAGCAGCGAGCCAGGGCCGAGGGCGGCCACAACCCGCTCGACACGGAGCGCAGCTCCCAGCGGCTCAGGGACCCCCGAAAATGCCCTTGGGGGCTGCGTAAACCCCCGGAGCAGCGGATTGCAGCCAGGATTAAGGCCGGGGAGCGGAGGGCAGCGGCGCCGGGCCGGCCCGCCCTGATGGATTGCGGTTCTGCGCCGGGGCTTCTGCACGGCTGGTGACTTTCCAGCAAAGCAATTATCACCGCGGCATGCGTAATAGCCTAATTAATTACTATTGTCAGCCTGGCCTCYGCGCCGTGATTATACCTTCCGCAGCCAACTTTGGAAACGTTTGGAAGCAGAAATATTATTGGGATTGACACAAAGGCGGCGGCACGGCCCCGGCGGCGGCGGCCCGCGCGCCCCAGCCCGGCCCTCCCTCTCCCGCGCACGGCATCGGGTGCCCGAGGAGGAGCCGGTTATTTCCATCTAAATACTCAGGGAAACAGCAAAACCCAAATGAGCGCTTTTGAGAAAGACGAGGAACAGCTGCCACGGGAGAAAACGGCAGCCGAGACCCCAAATGTTGAAGAAAACCGATGAAAAAAATAACTGCTGGGGGGAAAAAAGCCCTCCAGGCTTTGCTGTTTTCCTCTTTTTGCTGATGAATAAAGAAGACTGGGAGGGATGAGGACAGAGCTGCAGGAGCAGCCGGTGGCTCCATCCCGATGCCAGCCAGGATTGAGGGCTCCGAGCAGCTCCTGGGGTGGAAAAACCTCTTGGAGGGCATCAAACAGGAGAGATATCCCTGTTTTGTTTCCGGAGAAGTATTCCYTGGTTTTGCAAAGCTATGGAAAAGCGTAACCGTGCAGATGCCGTCACCCCCGGGTCCGTCCCTCTGGCGTCACCTTCGCGTGGCCAAAAGCCACTCGCCTCCAGAGGAGGAATAACACGGAACCAAAGCGCGAGATCCCGAGTTAAAGGCGGCGGCAAATAAATATGTTGTTCACGTTCGCRATTCCGGGATTAAAAATAAAGAAACAAACAAAAAAATCCCGCAGTCTGAATCGATCCCGTCCTTTAGACGATGTTATTTCTAATGAGAAATCCGCCGCGGCTGCTGCAAATAACTGCTAAACTGAGGGGGGAAAAAAAACGCATTAATAATTTACTTTATAAAGCACATGATCCCGAATGAGAGAAAATTGCTGCTAGTTCTTAATTTTGTTGTAATACTTCCTGACAAGTTCAATGATGCTTTGGCAAAGTTCCTGATGCCGGAATCAGAGGATGTTAAGCTCATGAGATTTGGGGTTTTTTTGCCTTTTTTTGGCCGTTTTTTCCCAAGGAATTCCCCACGTGCCACCCCGCAGCGTTTCCTTGGCCCAGGGCCACCTGGCCCTGGCCAATGAAAACATCCCAAGTTGATTTTACCCTTTTTACCACCGTTATTTTTCCTTTTGGCTTTTTTTAAGTGACAGGTTCAAACTTTTATTTTTTTCTCCTCATAATTTATATTTCTGTTTTCGTCCCACATTTGGCACCTGTAACCCATGTGGGAGCTGGACCGGAGGGTGGGCGGCTGCCCAAAGACGGGGGAAAAGGGGGGAAAAAAGAGGGAAAAGGCAACGCCAGGCTCAGGAAAAGGAGGTGTTGTCCCAAAACACCTGGGCTCGGATGTCCAGGCAGTTCCTGGATTCCCAAGGGTGCAGTTTGATCCCGTTTTTTCCCTTGCTGCCGGCCCCGTGCCCTCAGCAGAGCGGCCGGCCGGGAGCACGAAGCTTCACCTCCCATTTAGCCTAACAAAACTTTTAATTTAGATGTTTTCATCTATCTATCAGAGTAAAAGGGAGAAAAAAAATAAGTTTAAAATAATGACTGTAATAAATGAAGGTAATTAATTGTAGTTTGTTCCTTTACTGTCTAGTCAGCTTAATTTTACCTTTTCATCTAATAATGAGAAAATAATTTTTGTGCTCTGAGGGTTAATGATATGTAACTGCAAGAGCTGCTAATTGCATGTTGCAAACTATTCATCAAAATCCCCATCTGCGCTACTTGATTATGTTTGCTAAATTATTGCTTTGAATTATCTTTCATAAAGCAACTTTTGTAATTAGCAGGGCTTTGGCGCTGCTCTTTTCTCCGCGTGCACGGATATTCAAACTCGGGCCACTTCAAGCTGTTGCCATCAAGCTGCCATCGCGGGCGATGCTTGCTGCAAAATAAACTGCCCTTTATCTAATCAGGACCAAAAACYAAAGCTGTTTTTATTCCCAGCGGGGCCCGTTTCTCCTGCCCGGCCCCAATCCGCTTCCCAAAGGAATTAGAGGTGAAGGCGACGAGAGCTCCCACGAGCTCCTTATGGAAACGGGAAGCAGAAATGCCTAGAAAGGCCCATCCATGATGGCACATATTAGTATTTTGAGGTGATTTTTTTTTTTTTTTTTTTTTGCCTGCTTCCCGTTTTCGAGGGAATTCTCGTCATCCATCACGGCGGCTTTATGGGCTCCTTCCCGTGGTTCCGGGGATGATGCAGCTCTGTGGCCTTGCCGCTGAATATTCATGGGGAGCGCAAAGGATGGTGTAAAGAAAAAGCAAAAAAGTTTAAAAAAAAAAAAGAAAGAAAAAATGCAAGAAAAAGGAAGAAAAAGAAAGAAAAGAAAAGAAGAAGAAAAAAAGGAGAAAAAGCAGAAATGGGGGCCTGCCAGGCAGTTGCTCTCACTGCCCCTCTGACCTGCTCCTGTTTTCCAGYATGGCTCAGGATGCAGCCCCAAAAAAGAGCTGGAAATTGGCTCCCTGCACTGGGTATGAGCCCAGAGCCCCCCAGAATGGGGCAAAAAGGGGCAATTCTCGTCCTGGCAGCTCCAGAAGTCAAATCCTTGCTGCCTCCAGCGTGCACCCAAAGAGCTGCTGGGTGACAGGGTGCCCTGGCCTGAGCGACCAAGAAACCTCAACGCAAGGGAGCAGAATTCCTTTTCCAGGCTAAATCGCCCCAAACCTCCTGGGAAAGGCAGCCTGGAGTGGCGGGACGGATCACCGGGATGCCCTGGACCGGGATCCGTGYCCGCAGCTCGATGCCACCGGCGCCCAAAGCGCCCGGCTCTCAGCCTCGACACGGATCTAACGGAGACTAAGGAGGAGAAAAAGGCAGTACTTAGAAGCCCGGGAATGTATTCCTATTGTTATCACTCTCTTTTATGTGTTTATGCATAGTGCATGGGAATGAATCAATACTGGATTGCCCTATAAATAAATGAGCATATCAGTAAACTCGGTAATAAAATGAAGTGATGAAAAATATGGAAATCAGGCGCATTTGTGTAAATCCAGTTATTGTTTACTTTAATATTTTCTTATGCAGTTACGTGGCTCCAAAGAGACAGATTTAAAATAAGGTAATGCGCAGCAGATGACAGATTCTAATGTGTCGCTGCCGGCAAGCTCCGAGTACCTACATCTCTCTGGGGGTTTCAATCCAAGCACATTAGAGGAACACGAAAAGCAACCCTCAGAAGACAGAGCTTCTTTAAAAAAAAAAGGGGGGAATAAATAAAAAAGGGGCAGGAGAGGCATCCTGAGGTGCAATTGCTGCCTTAGACCACCGCATTTCCACAGGGATRCAAATCCAATGTGG